ATTTTTTGTGTGGCTTTAAGCCTTGAGTCTTTAGCATGTATCTCAGCACCTTAGGCGCTGGGTCCACAAACTTAGCATGAGATTGCCTCATCCTTTCAGGGATATCTAACCTGGAGAGCCTCATTAGCCACTTCTGCGGGTACTTTCACTTAGGCCTAAGTTGGTCCTTCTCTCAGCAGGAGTCAGTCCTTCTTTAGAGCTCCTTCAAGCCCATTGTGCCCCATGTTGGGTGCCACTTGTTGGGGTCTCAAGCCCAATGCTGGCCCCTGACCAGCAGGGGCCACTACAGACACTCCCCAACAAGGCAAACAGGAGAGGTAAGGTCCACTGGTGATGAACACACCACAAGCACCTGTGAGTTCTGTCGAAGCAGGAACTGCTTTATTGAAGAGGTGTGCAGGCTTATAAAGTTTATGAAAGACATGCGCAGTAGGGGAGCCAATCAGCGAAAAGGTCATGCAGGCATGGGTGGACCACGCAAAGGGGCATCTTAAGCAAAGTATAGGGATCACGCACTGTCCACGTGTCCAGAACTAAAGCAGACCTATCCCTGCTGGTGGTCTGATTTTATGTAGCTTAACCACAGCAGCCGCAGACACACCCCTTGAACATCTGCCAGGTGCCATATTGTAATGGAGATTTTAGGTAATGCCCAACACATAATAAAACATAAAGAAAAAATTCTACAATGTGAACAAGAGAAACACCAAATTACTTTCAGAGGATCTCCGAATAGACTCACAGATGATTTCTCATCAGAAACCCTACAGCTAGGAGAGAATGGAGAGACATAGTCCAAGTCCTAAAAATAAAAAATTACCAACCCAGCATACTGTACCCTGCAAAGCTCTCACTTATAAATGAATGTGAAATAAAACAGAAATTGAAAGAACTTGTCATTCCTTGTCCAGTCTTACAAGTGATACTTAAGGATGTACTACACACAGAAACAGAGGAAGATAGTGTAGTCATAACCATGAAAGAATGTGAATGTAGAAAATCTCTTAGCGGGGCCAGCGCTGTGGTATAGCGGGTAAAGCTGCTGCCTGCAGTGTCAGCATCCCATATGGGCGCCAGTTCAAGTCCCAGCTGCTCCACTTCCAATCCAGCTCTCTGCTATGGCCTGGGAAAGCAGTAGAAGATAAAACCCAAGTCCTCGGGCCCCTGCACCCACATGGGAGACCCAGAAGAAACTCCTGGCTCCTGGCTTTTGGCTTCAGATCAGCATAGCTCTGGCCGTTGCAGCCATCTGGGGAATGAACCAGCAGATGGAAGATCTCTTGCTCTCTCTCTTTCTTTTTCTGCCTCTGCTTCTCTGTAACTCTGCCTTCCAAATAAATTAATAAATCTTTTAAAAAATGAAAGAAAATATCTTAGCAAAAATACAAAGGACAGCCAAAGCAAACAATAGGAATACTAATGGGAAAATGGCAGGACCAAGTCATCACTTATGAATAATAACCTTGAAAGTAAATAACCTAAATCCTCAAATTAAGGGTACAGATTGGCTGAATAGGTTAAAAAATAAGACCTGTCTACTTGCTGCCTACAAGAAATACACCACACTAACAAAGATTCAGCACAGAATGAAAGTGCAGTATGGAAAAACATATTTGATGCTAATAGAAAGCAGAAAGTAGCAGGTTTAGCCAAGCTAATATCAGTAAAATAGATTTTAAAACAAAACTGTTTTCAAATACAAAGAAGGGAATTATGCAATGGTTAAGGGATCATTTGAACAGGAAGCCGTGACTACGATAAATGTATATTCACCCAATGCCAGGGCACCTGGCTGTTTAAAACAGATGTTAATGGATCAAAAGCAAGACATAGGCTCCAATAAAATAGTAATGAGGGACTTTCAACACCCCACTTTCATCAATGGAAGATCAACTAGACAAAAAAATCAACAAAGAAACAACAGAGTTAATCTAAACTATGGGCCAAATGGACCTAATTGATATCTATAGAACATTTCATCCCACAGTTGCATAATACAAATTCTTCTCATCTGTGTATGGAACTTTCCCTAGAATAGACCATATGCTAGGCCAAAAAAGCATCTCAGCAAATTCAAAAACATTGAAATCCTACCATGTTTCTTGTCTGATCAAAATGGAATGGAGATGGAAATTTACAACTTAGGAAACTCTAAAAAATATGCAAACACATGGAGACTGAACAACATGCTCCTGAATGAATAGTGGTTGATAGAAGAAATCAAAAGGGAAATCAAAAAATTCCTAGAAACAAATGAAGAGGACAACACACCAAAGCATAAGGGATACAGCAAAAGCACTGTTAAGAAGAAAGTTTATAGCAACTAGTGATTATATCAATAAATTGAAAAGGCATCAAGTAAATGATCTAACAATGCATCTTAAGGACCTAGAAAGACAAGAACAAAACAAACCAAAAACTAGTAGGAGGAAAGAAATAATTAAAATTAGAGAAGAAATGAACAAAAAATACAAAAGATGAGTAAAATGAAAAGGCTTTTTGGAAAAATAAACAAAATTGATACACCATTGCCCAATCAACCAAAAAAGGTAAGGGGTGGGGGGTAGAGGGAGAGACCCAAATTAATAAAATCTGAGATGAAAAATTAGATGTTACAACACATATCACAGAAATAAAAATAATCATTAAGAATTACTACAAACAACTACATGCCAACAAATTGGCACTGTGGCAAAGCTGATAAAGCCTCCCCCTGCAGTACCGACATCCCATATGGGCATCAGTTCAAGTCCCAGTTGCTCCACTTCCATTCAGCTCTCAGCTATGGCATGGGAAAGCAGTAGAAGATGGCCCAAGTGCTTGGGCCCCTGCACCAGCATGGGAGACTTGGAAGAAGTTCCTGGCTCCTAGCTTCAGATGGTTGCAGCTCCAGCCATTGTGGCCAACTGGGGAGTGAACCACCAGATGGAAGACTTCTCTCTCTGACTTTCCTCCTCTTTCTCAGAGTTGTGTAACTCTGACTTTCAAATAAATAAATCTTTTTAAAAAAGAGACTATTATAATTCATATGAGAGCTTGGTAAAATTGCAAGATATAAAATCAACATACAAAAATCAATAGCCTTTGTATACACAGACAATGCTCTGGATGAGAAAGAACTTATAAGAGTAGTACGATTTACAATAGCTACAAAAAAATTAAATACCTCGCAATGAATTTAATCGGGGGGTGAAAGATCTCTATAATGAAAATTATAAAACATCAAATTAAGAAATAGAAGACATAGAAAAAGGATGAATCTTCTATTTTCATGGGTTGGAAGAACTAATATAATCAAAATGTGCACATCGCCATAAGCAATTTACAGATTCAATGTGATCCCAATCAAAATACCAATGACATTTTCAGATCTATAAAAAATGATGCTAAAATTCATATGGAGACCCATATTGTAGTTCCAGGCTCCTGCTTCAACCTGGCCTAAACCCAGCTGTTGTGGCCATTTGAGGAGTGAACCAGTGATGGAAGATCTCTTTCTCTCTCTGTCTCTCCCTTTCTCTATGTCACTCTGTTTTTCAAATACATATAAATATTTCTTTAAAAACAGAAGCTTTTGAATCAATAGCCTTACTAAAGAAGGTCTACCCTCACCAGTATGAGTGGGCATCACCCAAGCTTCAAAGAGTCTGAAACAAAAAGGCAGAGGAAGGGAGAATGTGTTCTCTCTGTGTTCAGACATCCATCCCGCCATTGGACATCAATGTTCTTGGTTCTACAGGCCCTGGGACTCAGATCAGGACCATACACCAGTGCTCTGCCCTGCACTATTATTCGACCTTTTTTTAAGAAAATTTATTTATTTATGTTGATATGCAGGCGTACACCTTCCGGATAGGTTAACGCCGGTGAGACCTCGGAGACACCAGATGCGTTTATCGGCTTTTCAGCTTCCACTTTATTTTTCAGCAGACTCGCGTTACATGTCGCGAATGCCCGCCGTCTTCGCCTCCTCCAACCCTCTTATATATCCCGCCCTGTTACCGGCATTCATTCACAACTCCTTCATTCACCACTCCCGCTTATTACTCGCGTTCATTCACAGCTCCCACCTGTTACCGCGTTCATTCACAACTCCGCCTTTTACCAGCGTTCATTCATAACTCCCGCCCACCGTCCACCTATTTATATATGATTCACGGAAAACATGTTACCAGTTCAGCAAGAGTAAGTGTGGGAAACATGCAATAACAGGATGCTTAAAGTCAAAACAGGATCTTGCAATTAGCAACGGGCAGGGTGGAAAAAGCCCAGCACTAAACTTCTTGTGCTTGTACATGTCGGGAGGGGCACAGCTGGCCAGGCTGTCCTGTTCCCCGACATTGATAGAGTTACAGAGAGAGAGAGAGAGAGAGAGAGGGAGGGAGGAAAGGGAGGAGGAGAGAGAGATAGGTCTTCCATCTTCTGGTTAACTCCCAAGATGGCCACAACAGCCAGCACTGAGCCAGGCTTCAGCCAGGAGCCAGGAATTCATCCAAGTCTTCCATGTGGATGGCTAGGGCCCAAGCACTTGGGTCATCTTCTGCTGCTTTTCCCAGACCATTAACAGGGAGCTGGATTGGGAGTGGAGCAGCTGGGACACAAAATGGCACTGATATGGGATGCCAGAATCACATACAGTAGCTTTATCCACTATGCCACAATGCTGATCCCCTTTCTCAGACCTTTAGACTCAGATGAGGCCTTACATCATAGATGTCCTGGTGCTGGGGACTTGGGACTCAGCCTGAATCACACCTCTGGCTTCCTTGGTTCTCCACCTTGACTTCCTTAATCCTTGAGCTAATTCCCATATAAAATCTTATATGTTTGTGCATGCATGTGTGTGTGTGTGTGTGTGTGTGTGTGTACTATTGGCTCTATTTCTTGATTATAAGCTTTGGATTTTTATATGGAATTGCCTAATATAAGTATGTATAACTGGATGTTATACAGATAGTTCAAACTCAGCATGTTTCAACTGAGCTCATCTTTTTCCCACTCTTCCAACCCCACCCTCACCTGGTCCTCCTACTCTTACATTTACAATTTCAATTAATGATGCCACCATCTACTTAGTTATAAGCATGAATCTTGTAGTCATTCTAAATTCTTTTCCCTCTTTCTGCCCACATCTTTTCATTACTAACTAATTATTCCTCCTACGTGGTTCTATAATCTGTTTTCCCCTCCCTACTACTACTGCATAATCAGGCTTCATCTATTTCTTATCTTGACTACCTTGAAATAGCATTCTAATGGCTCTTACCTCAATTTTGCCCTCTTTTGAATCCTCCTCCATATAGCCAGAATAACATATCCAAAATCCAATTTAACTATGGAGTTTCCATATGTAAACCCATTTCCAGCTTTCCATAGTTACTAGTTAACACAATTACTCATCTATAACCTGACTCCTTATTTACTTATTTATTTCTACCTTCAATTTTACCTTTTAATGATCCCTAACTGCTTGAATTTCCCATGAAACAATAATATTTTCCCCATCCTTCATTTTGTCATGTTCCCCAAACCTGTAATGTCACCCATCCAACCCAAGGTTAGGGTCTGGGAACAGAATAGCTCTTCCAGGAATCCCAGGCATCTGGGTCAAACCGAGTTTTCCACTGCTGAGTTTCCCACAACCACCACTATCACAACCACCACAACTGCCCAGACAACCCTCTCATTATTACCATATAACTTGAGCTATTTGAAACTTGTATCCTCCACTGAAGAGTCAGCTCTCCCGGAACTGGCCCAATACCATATTTGTCTTTGTACCCCAGTCTGTATTAGATAGATAGCACATATTAGGTATCCAAAAATAGTTTATGGCTCTGAAATATTTGACATCATTTTGAACCTCTGTGACAGAACCCAATAAATGTTTTGGCCTTTCTTGCAAGTTTTTCTCGTTAACTGAATTCACACATATTCCAGGTGATGATATTCCTCTCTCAATGACTGTATTTCTCACCCTCCTTCACTATAATAGAAGATCAGTAAAATAAGGATTCACTGCTGGCTTTCTGGAGTTTAAAGGACACTGACTCAACAGGAGGAAAATGCTCTTTTATCATTTATTCCTCCCTTCTTTCTGCCTTAGACATAGTCAAATGAAAGGGATTCTAGATGACATCATATGTACTTGAAGATGTAAAGCCATCCTCTAAAGAAGCATAGGAGACTGGGTTCCTAACAACCATGAAGCTTTCATTTAAGCCCAAGACACCATTCATTTAGCCTTTTGTTAACATCAGAGAATATGACCTCTACTCGGTTTAGCCTAGCTGGGTCTTTGTTACCAGCACCTCAATGTATAGTGGCTCCCTGCTCTACATAGTTTCTTAAATGATTCAATTACAAAATAAAATTGGTCATAAATAAATGCCTTGTTGGGATCATCCAGGGTGGACACTATATTTCTAAATAGATGGCTCTATTCAACTGTGCTCAGGAACTAGAAAGCTGAATGATTTTTAATATGACAGTGAGATACTTCTGTTTTTTCATTTTTTATTTAACGCTTATGACTTGTCACTTTAAGTAGAGTTCAAGTTTGAGAGGCAATTACTTGAGTAACTTTTACAGCACTCTTATTCACAGCTAGTAGCTATTATGGGGGTTTCATATTGCCTAATTAAGAAATAAGTACAGAGTAATTAGAGTTCTTCCAAGGATTTACAACCAAGAATCATTAATAAATCATCTTCATATACTCTAAATTAAATGTATCTATATCCATGCATAGTTATAAATCTTTATGCAGATAGCAAACATGCATTATTAATTTATTCTTATTTATAAAGCATAAAATTGAACAAAGAAGACAACAACCCACACACCTACGAATTTCAAGAATATATTGGACTCTGGGTCTCTGCTTTATCATGTATCACATTTATAGCTACTGATTTGTTTACATTTTTTCTTCCTCAGGGATATCATAAGCTTACTTTCATACTATATTCAGTTCACACTCTATTCAGTGGATACCTAGATACTGACACCACTTGGCATTTTTAGTTATTTACTTATTTTTTTGAGAGGCAGAGTTACAGAGAAGGAGAATGGTCTTCTATTCACTGGTTCACTCTACAAATGGCCCTAATGGCCAGAGGTGGGCCAATGCGAAGTCAGGAGCCAGGAGCTTCTTCAGGTCTTCCAAATAGGTGCAGGGGACCAAGCACTTGTGCCATCTTCCACTGTCTTCTCAGGCTGCAAGAAGAGAGCTGGATCAGAAGAGGAGCAGCCGGGGTACAAATCAGTGCTCATATGGGATGCTGGCGCCACATGAACAGGTCTAGCCTACTACGCCACAGCACCAGCTCCAACACCACTTGACTTTTTATCCAAGTCTTTAAAGTTAAATTTCTTGACATAATCAGTGCCCATTTTGTGAGTGGCTCTGAAATGCTTGGGGTCTGTGTTACTAAATGTTTCTATGTAAGTTTCCTTGGGCTTTCCCCTCTCTTCTAGTGATTGGTATTTATCCCCTAATGAGCCATTTAAAAATCCATATACGATAAAGCCTAGCTCAGTAGGGGAAAAATCCTTAAATATGTCCTTAAAATATCAGAGCACAGTTTTAGACTCTACATGCTGTCTCTTGAGACTGGTGTTCTACATTTAGTAGGTGCTTGCTGCTGTTAACAATAACAACATGAATGTCCAAGGTTCTTTAATTCATTGGTTCAGTAAATATTATGTATTTTCTATAGGTTTAGAACTGCACTATATTATAGATACTATAGTGAGCAATGACAGGTATGGTATCTAGTTTTATCACCTGGGAAAGATAGGCATTAACAAACAATCAAAGAAATTAATTTATAATTGTAAACTGGGATAAGAGAGATTAAGGAAAGGAAATTGGCACTCTGAGTTTGCTAACAGACAAGAATGTTTGAGGCTAACCACACTATTGAGAAAAATAAAAACTTGAAATTAAAAAAATAATCTGTTTCAATGTGTCATCAAGCTACCAAGACTATGAGAACTTGATGATCCAAAATCTAAGAGAGGAAAGGTCAGGGGGTAAACTTAACACTCAGAAGATTAGCAGAGCTTGTTTTAGTCTCATGAGCCTGGAGAACAAAAGTTGACGTTTAGAACCCATGAAGAAAGAGAGGCCTTGATAAACTCAAAGCTTTTTGTTGAAAAAGAAAAGTACTCACAATTGATCTTCTCCATGACCAGCTCTATGTGTTCTTTGTTTTCAACCAGTACTCCAGACTATCATGGCCCTTCTTCAACCAGTGTGCGAATCAAAATTTCAAATGCAATGTACCTAAGCCACTGATTATTCTATTTATAAAGAGTTGGTTTAACCTTTTATTAAACTGTACCATGAGCATAGCAGTATGGCAGGTAAATCTAGATTACTCAGCTCTGTCTATGCTTCCCTCTGGATCCACAATGTAGAGAAATACTTGAGAGGTTTAATCAGGCAGCATCCATAACTTCATTTTGCCAATTTGCTCTGTGGAATAAAGAACTTTAAATGGCTAAAAGACATTCTAAGCCTCGAGGAATCTTTGCTGTATCCCAAGTAGAAACATTCCATTCTTCAATACTAAAATCCTCAAGGGTGGATGTTTGGCACAGCAGTTAAGATGCTACCGAGGATACACACATCACATATCAGAGTACCTGGTTCAAGTCATGACTCTTCTGCTTCTGATCCAGCTTGCTGATAATGCTTACCCTGGGAGGCAGCAGATGTCTCAAATGCTTAAGTCCCTGCTACCCACGTAGAAGATTAGGATTGAATTCTGGGTTCCTGGCTTCAGTCTGGCCCAGATGTTGCAGGCATTTAGGGACTTAACCAACAGATGGAAGATCTTCTATTTCTCTCTCTCTCTCTCTCTCTCTGTGTATATATATATATATATATATACATATATATATATATAAAGATATATATTTTATTTTCAGATAAAATTAAAATGTAGAAAAAATTACTAAAATCATCAAAGTCCATAAAAATGGGGACAGAGGGAAAATGTGCACATATATCACTATGTACTCTTGGGTAAGTTCTGCTTTTACTTCTATCACCAAGAAATTCATATTTTAATATTTTAAAATCTATGAGAGGGCCGGCGCCGCGGCTCACTAGGCTAATCCTCCGCCTAGCGGCGCCGGCACACCGGGTTCTAGTCCCGGTCGGGGCGCCGGATTCTGTCCCGGTTGCCCCTCTTCCAGGCCAGCTCTCTGCTGTGGCCAGGGAAGGCAGTGGAGGATGGCCCAGGTGCTTGGGCCCTGCACCCCATGGGAGACCAGGAAAAGCACCTGGCTCCTGGCTCCTGCCTTCGGATCAGCGTGGTGCGCCGGCCGCAGCACGCCGGCCGCGGCGGCCATTGGAGGGTGAACCAACGGCAAAGGAAGACCTTTCTCTCTGTCTCTCTCTCTCTCACTGTCCACTCTGCCTGTCAAAAAAAAATCTATGAGAGATATAATATTACAAATTGACCCTTTCTTAAAAGGATACTATAAAACAGACTTCTACTGACAGAGTGCTGTATCCTAGCTGAATGGTATGTGACACTCTGGTAGAGCAGAGTGGTTTCAGGGCCGTGGTATTTTAGGCCTCCCAATAATCCTTTGCTCCACTTCTTTCTGTGTAAAATAAACGTATTTTATCAGAGTAATTCTTCATAAAAATGTACACTTCTATATCCTCATAATCTTGATTTTTCCAAATTTATTCCCCTTATGCAGTTCACGGATGGTGGCACTCAAAGAAGAAAAAATGCAGAAGAAAAGCAGATTAAAAATCCTGAGTGTCATAGCCTTCTCCTTGATGGAAGGGGTCTAGTCAGCCTCCCTAGGCTATGATAATTTATCTCAAGCTCAGGGTTGTTAACTCTTGCTGGCAAGGGCAGCAAGGTCATATTCTTGAGAAAAATTCATTGTTTAATGTCTGCCACCTTTTCCACTTTGATCAGGCACTACAGAGGCTTGGGAAAGAAGCGGGCTGACATAACTAGGTTGAGTCATCTTGTCCACCTGACCAAAGCCTCATTCACAGTGACTTTGTTGGTTATTCACACAGAATATATTTAGTCACAGTTTGAAACCCTATTCATTGAGGTTCATCCATATGTGGGTTCCCCTAATACATTGTGATCAGTGTTATAATTCAGTTTAGGTCTCTGACAATCTGATTATGCCATTAGCCACTGCCCATCAATCAGTGTACATCCTGCAGGCTGTCCACTAACAGACAAAGTGAACAATAAGATAAATTGTTTCAATTTCTGTCCACTGGAAGAGTTCCCTTTCTTGGCTGTCTTTCATGGCCACTTCAGAGGATAGAAGTAAAGCCTCAGCAATCTTCTGGTTGCTACAAACATGTACAAAACCATATTTAACCAGAATCAAAGGAAGGAATTTCTCCATGAGGATTTAATGCAATGCAAGATGATGCAAGGTGGGAGCTAGTGAAATTACTTATGCAACTTATTTCTGCTTTCATGATTGCCTTGGACCTGATTTTAGATTAACGACTTCTACTTGCTGAAGGAGGACATCTGGCCATGTCTAAATTCAGTGTTGGTTTCTTATCCTCACTACTCATAATATAATCCTCTATCCTTCATCTGAGGAAACATATAACCCAATATAGCTCTGCTCTGTCTGTGACCCCTTCTCCCACCATTATCACCTCAGATCACTATAATACATCAGGCCAGTCATGTTCCTGATGTTTGCTCTCTGTGTTCTTTCTGTCTAGGGTACTCTTCCCCTTGAGGTGCACCGGCTACTTCAATATCTTCTTTAGGCCATTGCTCAATGTGATATTCTCAGTGACACCATTTCTGACAACTCTTTTTAAGAATGTCCCCTGAGTGCCAGCATTGCAGTGTAACAGATAAAGTCACCACATGTGACACTGGCATCCCAAATGGGCATTGGCTCATGTCATGGCTGCTCTATTTCCAACCCAGCTCCCTAGTAGTGGCCTGGGGAAAGCAGCAGAAGATGCCCCAAGTGCTTGGGCACCTGGCACCCATGTGAGAGACCTGGATGGAGCTCCTGGCTCCTGTCTTCAGCCTGGTCCAGCCTGGCTATTGTGGCCATTTGGGAACTGAACCAGAGGGTGGGAGATTCATTCTCTCTCTCTCTCTCTCTCTCTCTCTCCCCCCACTCTTTAACTCTGATATTCAAATAAATAAATAAATCTCATATAAAAAATAAAATCTTTTATATGGAAATCTTGATTTATCCAGCTTTATTTTTCCCCTTGCACAGATCACCTTCTGATATACTGTATATTTTAATTCATTTATTCATTCTTTGTCATTATCCACCAGAATATAAACTACATGAAAGAAGTTTCATCTGCCTAGTCTACTGATCCACGTGCAATACTACAGAATTGTATGTGAATATAGTAGACATTCAATAAATATTTAAATGAATGAATTTTCCCCTTTAGTGCTATAAGATTCAAAGTTTGTTTCAGAGTATTCTAGTAGGTCAAAAAAATTGTACACTCATGAATTGAATGCTTGACAGTGTTCACCTACATTGTCAAACACCCCAAGTTTATTTTCTCCTTTTGTTCTACATCTTTCAAATGTTCAAGTATATGAAATTTTGAGTAAGAAGAAATCGCTCCTCTTTGCCAGCATCTGCTGGGTTTTAGAATAACAGTGTCACTGGTTGTTTCAGATTCAAACACAATGTGAGGCTTTGTTTCTTAGATAAGTCAACCAAACAAACAATTATAATTATTCCCAGTGTGAAGAGGCACATTGAATCCAGAGTCTCAGTGAGTTGTCTCCATCATGCAAAAATCAGCCTGATCTAAAATCAGCAGTTCCCTTTTGGGTTACTCACAATACACAAACACATACACACACACACACACACACACACATCTGATATAAATGAACAACGTTTTGTAAAATTCTGTGGATATTCTTTCATCTTACAGATTTGTTATGAAACTGGTTCTTTGAGCATGTTGAGATCTGGTAACAGTTAAAGTCCTGGAGATAAACAAGAGGATGAAAGAGACAGAAGACCAACTGGCTTCCCCTGTCCAGGTAAATCTCTTCAATGGGCCTATTAAAGGGCTTGTCTTTATGTAAAGTGGAAAAAGCATCATCAGAGACAGGAGAATAACTGCTTTACTTGCCAACAAAACCCAATGGGGAATTGAAGTTCCTCTCAAATAACAAAATTTCCACTCTTAGCAACCTATTTCTGGATAAATGCCCAAACTACATCGATACAATGCAAAGCTCTAATTCAGCTGACACTGAATTTTGACGACTCATAGACTTAATGTTTTTGTGTGCATTTTGGCTTTCTTAATCCAGTGACTATAAGAAATGCAGTGTTTCTTTTGGAAAGTTAAAAAAGTCGCTAATTTTCAATCCAAACTTAAATAGGACATGTACTATATATAATAATGTTTATTTCTTTAAATTATGTGGAAGCTTTAACAGTATATACCATACACTACAGGTCTTACATAACTGTTCCTACTAGCCTCTAGCAGAAGTTACATGGTCGCTTAAACTCTTGCTTCAATTAGCATTACATTCCAAGTTGAATAATTTAATACATTGTGTTAATTTTGTATCACAGGCTATTAGCAGCCTATTGATTACCAGCAACAATTTTCACTACTTTTAAATCTCCATTAAATGCCACAATAATACTTCATAAAGAAATTAGATGGCTTACTATAATCCCGCATTCTTGTTCTTCTAACTGCAGATTGGCAGAAGTTGTCAGATCTATATTTGGTTGAATAGGATCTTCAAATTCTTAAATATACCTCTCATCTTCCTGGAACCAAAAGGTTGGCTAGGGCCTAGTTTTCTTATGGTGTTGGTAGAAATGCCAGATGACAGGCAACAATTGCACAAATGCATCTCAAATGTTTGCTCATATCATGTCCATTAACAAAGAGAATCAATCACAGCCAAGTCCAGCATCAATGAGACAGGAAGAAACACTCCACCTAGAGTGGAAAGAAAAGGAAAGTAAATATTTGTTAAATAACCCAAATTATCACAATCCATAATAAGACCAAATAAGCAAACACAGACCCCATCATTTCTTTGAACATCTGTCCCTACAAAAACTTCTGATTTAGATTTCTGTATCATTAGGGTTCCTTGTTGAAAACAATAGAAAACAACTCTATTTGGTTGCTAAAAATGAGAATATTGGAAGAATATTTAAATTGTTAACAAATAAACAGGTACATTGAATAATTAGGCTCAGAGACTCTGAAATAAGTAACAGTGTACAAATTATGGCATGGCATCAAGAGACAGCAACCCAGTACCCCTACAATATACCCTAATATGGAGGTTATTGGCTACATAAAGCTACTGAGCACAGAAATGGGACAACTTCAAATTGAGATGTGCTCTAAGAGTAAAATGCACACCAGATTTTTAAGTGCAAAGGAAATATTTTTAAGATAGCTCACTAATCTCAAACTGATTAATATTGAAATAATATTTTGGATGGCGCCAGCGCTGTGGCACAGTGGGTTAACACCCTGGCCTGAAGCGCTGGCATCCCATATGGGTGCCGGTTCTGGTTCCAGCTGCTCCTCTTCTGATCCAGCTCTCTGCTATGGCATGGGAAAGCAGTAGAAGATGGCACAAGTCCTTGGGCCCCTGCACCCACGTGGGAGACCCGGAAGAAACTCCTGGCTCCTAGCTTTGGATCGGCGCAGCTCCGGCCGTTGCGGCCAATTGGGGAGTGAACCATAGGATAGAAGATCTCTCTCTCTCTCTCTCTCTCTCTCTCTCTCTGCCTCTCTCCTCTCTCTGTGTAACTTTGGATATTACCAAAATAAATAAAATCAGCATATGAAAAAGTTATTTCTACACCCATGTTTATTATAGCTCACTTCACAAAAGCTAAAATAGAGAATCAACCCAGAAGTCCATCAACTGATGACTGGATAAAGAAAATGTCATATATATACAATATGGAATAATATCCACAAAGAAGAATGAAATTCTGTCTTTTGCCACAAAATGGATGCAACTGAAAACCATTAAGCTTAGTGAAATAAGCACATCCCAAAAAAGACAAATTTCATATGGTTTCTGATATGTAATAGTTAAATAGAATACAAAAAAATGTATAGGAATGAAATGGACATCTTGAGATAGATTTGATTGCTGCTTTTAGCCCTTGTTTGCACTCCTATGGAACTGTAGTCTTTCTAGTTTTTATGTATTGAATATTATAGTTAAGTGGTGTTTTAAGCCTTTGATATTAGAGTAGACTGAAATGGTGTTTTCAAAACTTAAAGAAAAAAAAGAAAGTTCAGAGGGGCTGAGGGAGGGAAAGAAGAATGGAGAGAATTATGATTATTTTCCTAGAACTGTACCTATGAAACACATGAAATCTGTTCTCTTTATATTGATAATTTTTTAAATAAAATAAAATATCCAGAATACATAAACCATAGTGACAAAAGTAGATTAGTAGGGTCTGGGAGTGGAGTTAGTGGGAAGAATAGAGATTGACTGTGTAAAGGGTTTCTTTTGGGGGTGATAAAAATATTTCCAAGTATTAGATAGTGGAGATAATAATACAACTCTATAAATATGCTGAAAATCAGTCAACCATACAGTTTAAATGAGTGAATCGTACAGTGTGTGAATTATATAGCAATAATGCTGATGTTATATTTTTAAAAATAAATTAAAATATTCTTAAAATTAACCTTATTTATCTCTATTTCATTTTAAATAAATTAGGCTACAAAAAAGTTTACAATGGTATAAGTGGTTCAAACTACATTTCTATTGGCCTAGTTCAAGCCTTTTGTACACATTTGGGGAGTATATCAGCAGACAGAAGAAAGAAGATCCCTCTCTCTCTCTCTGTCAGCCTTTCAAATAAATAAATAATTTTTTATAAAGAAAAAGAAATTGCCTTTAAAACATCCACTCTTGGACCCAGTTTCCATTCTGAAGAATATAACATTAAGAAATAGAAATAAAGGCAAAGGTTTTTATCTATGAGTTCCCCAAGAAGCAGACACAGAAATAAATGACTTATTTAGGATATGATCTTGACACTGTAGCTTGTTCTGTCCACCCTGCTGGCAGTGGATACAAGTGGCCAACAGGGATTAAGCATCATTGCCAACGTGCTCTTCAGAAAGTCAAAGCTGTCAACATTGCCATCACCAACAAAGAGAAGAGTTCTCTGTTGTGTCTTCCTTGCATATCTACTTGCCAAACATAATCTATGTTATATCCATCTGGTTAGTAAACCAGAAGTCACATGCTCATGCCTTTGTTTCAAAAGAGGTCAACAAATTGAGTATTTGGTTTTTCAAGCCTTCTACAGAAGGAGATGAACTCTTAGATCCCACTCACGACTCATAAAATGGATTTTTTCAAATATTCATAGAAGTGGCTAGGCCACAGCTTGGGACATTCACATCCTGGGTTCAAGTCCTAACTCTGCTCTCCATTCCAATTTTCTGTGATTGTGCACCCTGGGAGGAAACAGATGATGATTCAAGTACTTTGTTCCCTGTAACCCATGTGGAAGAATTAGTTTGACTTCTTGGCCCCTGGCTTTGGCATGGCCTGTTCTAGCCATTGCATACATTTGGAGAGTAAACCAACAGATGGGAGATGTCGCTCTTTCTCTGACTTTCAAGTAATAAATAGTTTTCAAAAGAATAGAAATTGCCTTTAAAATATCTACTCCTGGACCCAATTTCCATTTTGAAGAATATAACATTAAGAAATAGATTTATAGGAGTTGGAGCTGTGGGGTAGTGGGTAAAGCTGCCGCCTTCAGTGCTGGCATCCCATGTGGGCACCGATTTGAGTCCCGGCTGCTCCATTTCTGATCCAGCTCTCTGTTGTGGCCTGGGAAAGCAGTAAAAGATGGCCCAAGTCCTTGGGCCCCTGCACCTGTGTGGGAGACCTAGAAGAAACTTCTGGCTCCTGGTCTCGGATCGGCATAGCTCTGGCCATTGCAGCCATCTGGGGAGTGAACCAGCAGATCGGGGACCTCTCTCTCTCTCTCTCTCTGCCTCTGTCTCTGCCTCTCTGTAACTCTTTCAAATAAAATAAATAAATACTTTAAAAAAAAAAAGAAATAGAAATATAGGCAAAGATTATTATCTTTGAGTTCCCCCAGAAGAAGACACAGAAATAAGAAGTTTATTTATGAGATGATCTCAGAAGCGCTAGCAAAGAGTTACAGAAGACAAAGCAGGGAAGGAAGTCACTCAAAGGTACATTAATGAGAAGGTCAACTGTGGCTCAGTCCCTCTGGGACTTTTAGACATGGTTTAGAAAAGACTTCAGTGTTCTACTTCCTGAGAGAGAGGATGATAAGGTGAGGGGATGTTAACCCCCAGCACTTCTGACCTATACTCACAACTATGTGCCTGCATCCATGGAAAGCCCCTGGGCAGGGAATTACAAGTGTCATCCACAGGTCCAGGAAAAGCAGGTGCAAAGAGGATGTGAGTGAGGTACTGACAGGAAATGGCTTTCAAATTATTAAAAATGCTATAACAGTAGGTTTTTAAGAGTTCTCAATACAAATAATAAAAGTATGTGAGCTTATACATATAATTAACTGGCTCAATTTATCCATTCTACAACATATACATATTTCAAAATGTGTTGTAAACAATAAATATATCCTATTTGTTGATTAAAAACTAAATCTAAAAGGTGAAGTGTTTAGAAATTTTTTAGAATGTATTCCACAAATATTTATTGAACAATTAAGAGGTGAATAACATTATTCAAGGAGCAGTAGATCAGTGAACAAAACAGACCAAAAATCCCTTTTCTCATAGACTTAGATCCTAGACAAGAGAGAAAAATAAATAAGCAAATATAATTAACCATTTGTATGTCAGAGAGTAATGAATCCTGATGGGGGCAGGGTTGGAAATAAAACCTTGAATGGGAAGTGAGTGCTAAGACTGGAGGATGGTTTTGCAGATTAGAATAAGTTAGTCAGAGAAAGCCTCACAGAAATGGTAACATCCGGGCAAAGATGAGATAAGAGAGTGAACAATGCCAATTTCAATGAGATGTGCATTCTAGGAAGGAGAACAGCAACTGCCAAGACCCCATTGTAAGGATCTGCTGGTCATGTCCCAGTAACAGCAGGCGGCCCACATGGCTTAAGCACAGAGAGTGTAGTAGCACTAGGTCATTAGAAAGGGAATGTGAAGCTAGATTACCTGGAGTGTCATACACAATTTTGAAGACTTGAAATTTTGCTCTGAATGAAATGGAAAGCCATTGAAGTGTTTTTTAAAAGTTCATTCAGGATACTGTCATGAAAATAGACTAATGGATAATCAAGGCTAGAGCAAGGACACCAAGATTGCAGTAATGAAGTGACAATTACTTGTACTAGGGTAGTAGCAGAAAAGATACTGCACAGAAGTGGGGGAGAGTATATTGAAAGCAAAGTCAAAAGGATTTGCTGACAGATTACATGTGGGCTGGAACAGAAAAAGAAGAGTGAAGTATGACTGAGGTTCTCGTCCTAAGCAACTGAAAGAATGCAATCATCATTAATTGAGAAGACAGGAGGAAAGGGAGACATGAGGTTAGGGATACAGAGTGAAAAGGAAAATTAGCTCAGTAAAGGATATGTTAATGGGCAATGATGGTTCATATAGATCTGAACTTCAGGAGCAAGCTATAGACTCCAAATGTGAGTTTCTGAGACTTCAACATACAGATGATATTTAAAATGATGGATGGGTAGATGAGATCACCAATGAAATGAGTACCAATATAAGAGAGTTCCAAGATGATTTGGAAAATAGTCTGACAATTCCTTAAAAAGTTAAAAATAAAGTTATCCTATGAGCCAATAATTCCACTTCTAAGTACAAACCCAACAGAAATTAAAATGCATACCCCCACAAAATCTTGTACATTAATTTCTTGGCAAGAGTATTCATAGTAGCCAAAAAGTAGACATGATCCA